ATACAATAACGATAATAATAATAATAATAATAATACAAATTTTTATAGTTTACATCAACTTAATTAAATTCAAATAGTAAATAAAATCATTCGGAAATAAACTATTTCCATTATGGAACATATGTATACATCTTTGCTATTAGCTATGAAAACTATTGTTATATTTATAACAACAATTAATTGTTATAAATAATACTTCTACTATCGCCAGCATTAGAGGATTTGAATTGACAGTTGCATCTCTGTGCTGATACGGTATGGCAACCTGACCTTATGAACATACGTACGTACGAAGTCCTACTTTGTAATTGACTAACTAGCTGTGTATTGTAGTGTAGGAATAGGTTGGAAGAAAGCTAGGGGTGGCCAGACCAAAACATGGTACAAATCCACGAAGTCACTGACAAGTGGACTGGGTCATGTTGGCAGATTTCGGCCACCTGGTTGGGGTCCGAGAGATGATAGTAACCGATGGTTAGAGACCTTGAATGACATGGCTCAGAATCGTTTGCAATAGCGCAGGTGCATCCACTGTTTGTGTGCTTTTTAATTCTAACCTTCTGAATTCCTCATAATCTCTATCCTTCTCCTCCTAAATTTATCTTACTGAATTATACTTTTTGAATCATATCTTCGCTCCCTAATCTTCTCCATTACTGCTAACGATTCTACTCTCGCTATCACTTTTGGATTTGAATTGACAGCTCCATCTTTGTGCTGATACATTATGGCAACCTGAACTTATGTACTTATCCATGTACGAAGTTCTGCGTTGTAACTGACTGACTGACTAACTGATTGATTGACTGTTATAAATAAGACGAATTTCAAAAAAAGTAAAGTTGACAACAATGATCAAATTCATAATAGGCGCAAATGAAGGCGGGATAGGTTTGCGAGTACACTTTTTTTCAAAATAATTAAATACAGTGGATGGGTAATGTAAACAGGTTGTAGTGTATACCCAAAAATATCGACCCACAAGGGTTGCCGACTCGAGTTATTCACAACACGTCTTTCGACCTTGTCAATAGTTAGCTTATAACTTAATTTCTTTTAATTGACTGGGCGTATGCATTGCCTACTTCGCTTATCACATGTCTAGTTTATTTCTGTCAGACTAAAAATACTTATTCCTGCCTCATCACATTGAGTTGATCCACTCGCCTTTCCTTTTACGCTCCGAATCCTCCTACTATCTGTCTGCTTACGCGAACGTATGAAACCAAGTCATCCACAGAAAACCTTATTGAGCTTGTCGAGCTATGTTTTGCGACGTAGGAATACGCTGGAAGAAAGCTAGGAACGGCCAAACCAAACATGGCACAAAACCATGAAGTCAATGACAACTGGATTGAGTCATGTTGGTAGGTGTTGACTGCCTAGTTGAGGCCCACGAGAAGACGATAGTGATCGAAGGTAAGAGACCTTGAACTACATGACTCAAAATCGCTTACAGTGGTGCAGGTGCATTCATTCTTTATGTTGTCTCAAATTCTAACCTTCTGAATTTCTCATCATCTCTCACTTTCTCTTTCTAAAGTTATCTCACTGAATTATACTTCTCAAATCATATCTTCGAACCATAATCTTACCCATTACAGTTAATACTTTTACTACGTCAACTACTGTGGAATTCGAATTGACAACTGCGTCTCTGTGCTAATGTGGTATGGTAACCTGTACTGATGTACGTACGTACAAAGTTCTACATTGTAACTGATCAATATGGTATACAATGTTTGTTTAGTAATAATTCAATAAGAACATTCATTTTAATATTTTAACACTGTTCTGTCATATCGATGCATATTCTTTAATAATCAACCTATTAAATACCAGTAACATTTATATAAATATGAGTGTATTTTAGCTGAATAAGTTGCAATCGTATTGGTTGAAAGGTAGACTAAACCTTACACCTGATATAAGTCATCATTTTCTTACTCGTATCATGTAAAGATCAAGCTGTCGGTATACACAATATCATGATTCAATCTATGTTATGTCACCATTAGAAACCTGGAAGCATTGGAAAGAGGTTTCGTTCTGGTGTGAGACTCGTCAGCGGTGCTTTTCTCAGCAATTGAACCCAGGACCTCCAGTCCAGCACGTGAACGCTCAACCTCTGGACGACTAAGCCGGTATCCAACTACTGATAAGTAGTCCACTACTAGGACCAAACAGCCGTCCTATACTTCCAGATTTCTAACAATGATCGAGTCACGATTTCGAATAATTGTAACTCAACAATTTCCACATCCCTTTTACACAAATTTAAAATATCAGTCTTCCATCAATTATCATCAAACAAATAGCTGAAAATTACTAATAATAATAATAATAATAATAATAATAATAATAATAATAATAACTTAACCTTCAAAAATACATAGAAACACACAAACTTACCAAATTACAAGATTCATATTCTTTACGCGAATCAAATTCAATCACACTATATTCATCCATTTGTAAATGTAGTTCCAATTTGCCTCGATACACATTACCATTGTATTCGAACTTGAAATGATAATGCAAAAAGGTAATTGATTGACATAATCAATTATGAATGTACACTGCTAAAGTATATATATATAGCTATCATCTATCAAGATGAAATGTAAGTGAGCAATGATACAGAAAGCGGTTAGATTAAAATAATGGTATCTATTGATGGGATACTTAACTGTTAAACTGACGGGGACGTTAGATCTCAAGAAGTCGCTTGATTAAATGTCTTAATTTTGGATTTTATTCATGGGCTGATCAGTTGACCTTGGGATCACATTTCCCACCAGGAAAATCCATGGCTGTGATTGGTTGATGTGTTATTTTAGTATGCTATTTTCGTGACTCTCCCAAGGACGTTTCTATGATGTATAAATAAACGCGAATTGTGTGCTGGCTGGGTGTTTGTAGAATACACTTTCTTCACCATATCAAGAGTTTTTCTTCAGTTAGTTGGGGCAACGGATCAGAGTAGCCTATCATGTCACTCGGTTACTGTCTCGTTCTCGTTTATCGACTAAGGTGAACTCGTAATAGTTTCAAGTATATCAAGCGACGAGCATAACATAAACTGAGCCATATAGATAAATCGGGACAATTCGATCAATGTGATTAGGGTGGTTGGAGACATTGGATGGCAAGGTTTAGAATCTATCTCACCACTTGTTTTCCTTTATATCGCGATAATCCAAAATCATTCTACATTGTTTTTCCTTTTTCTAAACCGAGTATTTTCTAACAATGTAGATTTGTTTGTGACAATATGACCTGGATCAATCAATTTATGTGATGGGTTTTAGATTGCTTATGATTAAAACAAGGAGACAGTCACATTGATTAATCACTCAAATCACAACATTAATAATTCAACTCATTGGTGGTAACTGACTTGAAAATATTTTTTTTTTTATTTCAACTTGAAACTTAAGAATATAACCTACTATTCATTCATATATTAGGAGCATACTACTTTTATTAATCATAAACTAAGACAATCAGATACAAGTTAAAGGAAGTTTGACGAATGCATGCTATTGGTCAAGAATTGGATTAAATTTCTGTGCGAAAGAGAGATTAGTTGAAAAGCTTCTGACTTATTCGATTTTCTCACTTAAGTTGTGCTAGTTGTGCTCATGTATAAGAAATATATCATACATCTGTAGCAGAGATTGACAATGGAAAAGTAAATGGAAATTTTATTTTACAATAAAACTAAGTACTAAAAAAAGATGCATACTGTGTAGGCATTAACATTAAAAAGTATTGTGCAATTAATTAAGGTGAGTTGTATAAACAAATTTTGCGTAGTAAAGATAATTTTGCATCACAGACGTAACTGGATGATCCATGGAAATCTGAGGATATTAGATAACTTTTTCGTTCTATTGTATCAGACCCATTCATGAATGTGCACACACACACACGCACGACTGTTGGAAACGTTAGATTCTCAGAACTCACTTGTTAAGGGTACTAATTTTGGATTTCATGTTTTCGTGCAAGGATTGATCAGCTGACCTTGAGATTACATTTCCCACCGGGAGAATCCTTGACTGCCATTGGTTGATGTGTTATATTAGTAGGCTATTTTGTTGCTCTCCAAGGACGTTTCTATGATGTATAAAATAAACTCGATTTGTGTGTTTGTCGACCTCATATTTTCTGAGTGCTTTTAGAATACACTTTCTACGTCTTGTCAAAACTTCCTCCTCTACTTAGTGTTGCGTTGGGACGCTCGTATCACTGGATCATTTGTCTCCGCTCTCGTTTACCAACTAAGGTGAACTCGTAATCGCATTCAAACATATCAAGTGGTGATGACCAACAACAACGAAAAGTACAAGATTTTTGAATGAACATTTTCTTAAGATTGAGGAATCGGAACAAAATAGTTACGTAATAATAATAATATTAATAATCGCGTTTTTTCCATACTTACTGAAATTTCAATAAATGCCTTATTTGGTGGTATAGATTTCAATGCATAATGACTACCAGCAGAGATTTCATTGGTAATATTCTAAAACCGAAGTAACAATACAATACAAATTTCAAACATTTTGATATGTACAAATGTAACAAACATTTGAATAATATAAAAGGCAATGCCATAACGAGAAATGCTCTACTCTAATAAAAAGGGCTTCGTCATACAAAATGATTATTCATCAACCGAAATACTAAACGTCTCATAAAAAGGTTTTGTGAAATACAGTACAGCATCAACGGATGAATAGATGCGGATGAAGAATTATTGATTTTTAATATCAGTTACTGAATAATTGCTGTCTGAAGGTTTATTCAGTATATACTTACTAGAATATGTATGTATTTAGACAACAAGGCCTTTGATTAGCTGGGAAATGATGGAGGTGGTATACGATAGATCACCCGAAAAGATCTGGATTTATCTACAATATGACCACTACTATCAACCAGGTGTGCTAAGATAGAATTGTGTATTGTTTTTGTCTGACCCTTCTTAAACCATGCTGGGAGATGTTCACTCATTCGTTGGTTAAGTTGCCTGGTAGTACGCCCAACGGAGTTCGATCACGTCTCCTACACATAGCAGAAGCCATAGGAACTCGTACATTCAACCCCAATTTGTGTTTAAAAGAAATCCGTGACACCCCTATCTCTTCCGTAGCCGGATATGATGTAACTAATAACTTCAGATTTAATCTTTTTTTTTGGTTTAAATTTTATTTTGTTATTATTAGCATTATTTTCGCATCCTGTATTTGTTAGTTTATATTCTTCACTATCTAATTATGTACAACACACTTCTTATTGCGTAATTGTTTTAATGTTTTGTAATGATTATTTTAAATTAAAAGTATGCTAAACCTTTGTTGCTAAACATAAGTTCACAACAAAATATCATATCTATGAACAAAAAATATCAATGTGCATAGCAAGAAATAAGTAGTATGTCTGTACGAGCGAACATATTTTAGTTGCTCATTACGTCAGATCACTTGTTAATTTCAAGAAAACATAATGAACAGGATGTCAATTCACGTAAACCAACATTGGAGCTTGAAGAATGAAACTTAATCTAATAGATAACAATTCAGTCAGTAATCAAATAGACCATTAACATTTTCGTCTAACGAGAGACATTTTGTCAGTCAGTCAGTTTGTCAGGATATTCATACAATATCCTAAGAGAATTATTTGTAAGTCAAGTTCTATTGGTCTATTCTTATTGGTCTTCCTAACTATTAATGTCACATACTTCAATGTTGTTTCCTATTCGACCTAACTGTGAAATTATGCATTACCTATGACGTTTTATGACCCGGATCTTCAGTCCGGGATACTCATTCTCTTCTGGAGTCGGACTTCGTACTTTCTGAATGCTTGTAGAATACAGGTTCTACTTCATATCAAGTCTTCTTCTTTTACTCAATGTAGGTTTAGTACGCTCGTATTAGAGTAGCCTGTCGTGTCAACGGATCCTCGATCCCGTTCACCGACTAAGGAAACACGTCAAACAGGTCAAACGTGGAGAAATTCTAATGCTTCACTTCTATCTGAAGTTCGTGCTGATGATGTTGTTCAGAAGAACAATGAAAGCTCCACAACCAAAACAACCAGCTCAGAGAACAAAACACCACCACAAACACGTAATCGTTCAAACATATTAATAGAGGTGGTGACGTCCGTTCATAACACAGTTACAATGTAGAACGTCGTACGTACCTACTTCAGTCCAAGTAGCCATACTACATTAGCACCAGGAAATGAAATTGTCAATTCAAATCGCACAGTAGTAGAGGTAGAGTAGAAGTATTAGCAGTAATCAAAAACACGCTTTGTGGCGTACATAGGTTCAGTGTAAAAGGCCAACACTATGAAACTGGTTGAGTGATACTAGTTTAGAAACTACAAGAAACATTAACTCTTTCAAAGTTCTAAATAAGCCATGTTGATGTATGCAAGATCGAATGAAACCTAGATTTTAATAAAAACAGTCAGTTGCAACGTAGAACTTCCTACGTATATACATAAGTTCAGGTTGCCATACCACATTAGCACAGAGATGCAAATATCAAATCAAATCCCATAGTGATAGAGATACTATACGTATTAATGGTAATGAAGAAGACTAGGGTTTGAAGATATTATTCAAGAAGTATAATTCAGTGAGAGAAATTTAGAAAGAGAAAGATAGAGATTATGAGGAATGCAGAAGGTTAGAATTTCATGGTACACAAAGAGTGGATGCACTTGCGCCATTGCAAACGATTTTGAGCCATGTCGTTCAAGGTCTCTAACCATCGGCGACCTTCGTCTCGCGGACCCCAACCGGGTAGCCTACATCTACCAACATGACTCAGTCCACTTGTCAGTGACTTCATGGATTTCTGCCATGTTTTGGATTGGCCGCCCCTAACTTTCTTCCAACCTACTCCTACACCACAAAACATAGCTCGTCGAGGCAGTCGGTGGTTAGCCATACGTAACACATGTCCCAACCACCTCAACTGATGAAGCTCCACTACTTCATCTATTGATCTGCCATCCTTATGAGTACTCGTTTCCTAACAACAGCATTGCTTACTCGGTTGTCCCATGACACACGACCAATGCTTCAGAGACATGGATGATCGAAAACCAGTACCCTACGAATATCTTCTACTCTTAGCGGCCATGTTTCGCATCCATATAGGAGAACGAAGCGAATTGTTGCGCAGTACACTCGTCCTTTGGTTAGCGAACGGATATCTCGCCTACGTCATAAATCACGTAAATTGGCAAAATCAAATCGGGCTTTCTGTATTTGCTTTTGCCAATTTACGTGATAATAAAAACAACAACACATATTTTCCTGCCAACAAAAGAGACTACAAATAAATTGAATATCATGACTATAAGAACAGAACAGAACAGAACAGAAAGGGAAAAACAAACTTACTGATAACATAAAACTAATTGGAAACGGCAATTGATTATAAAATACCACAGCTGTTTGAATAATCATTTGAAAATCACAATATGACACGTGTAATTTATCACCATGTAGCATTTTACTTTGTGTTGTACGCAATTCATCAGCCACTGCAGTTAATGATGTTTTACGCTGATGATCAATGTTACAGGTAGTAGTAGTAGCAGTAGTACTACTAGTTGTTGTAGTAGTAGTAGTTTTATTAAACTGATCATCAAACGGATTAGATTGATAATCATGATTTACTACAACTACATTGTAAAAGTATACTGAGTCATTATTATTATTACTAGTACTACTACAAGTATTGTTTGGACGACATTCAACTAATTGATTAGGCCATTGAAATTGTGATGAACTACATGTTTTAGAATCGATATTTGTTGAGGATACAGCTTGAGCATATGGTGCAAGAAATGGTAAATGAGAATCGGCATTACTCGGTGTGTATTTTTCAACTCCACAAGCAAATTCTGGCCAATAGACAGGAGTTGTTGAAATTACTGGTCTAGATTGGAAAAAAAAATGGGATACAACAATAAAAGAAAATATGCTACGCATAAAAGGGGTTTAAAATAAGCAAATTGTATTCGCAGCAACACTCGACCAAAGGATTCCCCCCAGTCGTGGCGCAGCTAGGTAATAAGATAAAACCTATCATGTAACTTGGATGATCGGTGGAGATCGAAGTAATCAACAACTTCAAGTGCCGAAACTGACTAACAGAGTTCTCTGGGTTCACAAAAATCATCAGGACTGCCCGATGTGCAGGCATGCATATATGAATCGCATGAGCTCTGGCTGATGTAGTTTATCGATGTAGGCATATGCAAACGGTGCACTAGCAAATGAAATAACGTAAACTGGAAAGTATGTCTTCTAACAAAAAAGCGAGGTATACGCGAAAGCTCAAGTAGCAGTGAAATGTATATAACGTATGAGAGACAATTTATGGTAGCAAATATGTTCATAGAAGTGATAACTATCTAAACTCCAAAGAGGTTGATATATCCATGTGTATACTAAGGGATAGGTGGGTAAAAACTCACGTGTTTTCAGTATGTATCCAATGGATATCTGACCTCTGAGATAAGTATACCTATATGTACATCACGAGATACATGACGTAAAAATTTGTGCCTATCATATGCATATGATGTACACGTATTCTCATAGAGAAGCTCACGCACCAAGATCTACGGGGTTCCCCCGTTTCCCCAGGCAATCCTAGCAACGCAATGGGTTTGTGAGTCTCGAAGAACACATTCTTTCCCAGAAACGGCAATTGGCATCATCAACTAAGGTTTCACCAATCTCTATGACTGGAACACTATAGAAGAGCATTCAGCCAACTTAGTATTATTAGCCGAAAATAATGTAATCTTAATATTTATGACGAAAAGAAAAGAGGTATGACATGGAATACTACTATATATATATATATATATATCGACATAAAACTGTTGAATTAGTATTCAGAGAAAATAAATTCTGTTTGTTGTTATCTACAATGAATCACAACGTATTAAAAAAAATTTGTATGAAATCTCTTACTTTTTACCTTTATACATCATTCAAATGCTTTCCCTTTCATATTTATCCATGTAAATTTCTCAGTTCTACAAGTCAGTCGTAGGTTGTATATATCAAAATTTATATCTCAGACTGTCGTCAGTCAGTCGGTCAGATGCAACGTAGAACTTCGTATGTAAGTACATCAGTACATGTTGCCATACCACATCAGCACAGAGATATAATTGTCAATTCAAATCCAATAGAGTAGTAGAGGTAGTAAAGGTATTAGAAGTAATCGGAGAGGTTAGGATTAGAAGATATTATTCAAGAAGTATGATTCAGTGAGAAAACTTTAGAAAGTCAAAACTAGACGTGTTGAAGAATGCAGAAGATTAGGATTTGAGAGAATGAATGCACCGGCGCCATTGCGAACGATTTTCAGCCATGTCATTCAAGGTCTCTAACTATCGATTATTATCATCTCGCGCACCCCAACCAGGTGTCGACACCTACCGACATGGCTAAGTCTACTTAGACTGTGAAACTAAATGAATTGGGTTCGAATCTACCAGGTCGCAGCATCACTTATTGAAAGACTGATGATTTTGAACAAGGCACCAAATCTAGTGGCGATGGGCGCTGTTCAAAAAGTGTCATGGGAGTAGTATACAACAGCGTGTTGCCTAGAAGTCGCTACCAGAGAGATTAAAATACCTGGTGTGATGAGCGTATTTTGAATACTAGAAGAGAGAAAACAGTCAATAACTTATTTGGACTGGGAACATATGTGATTAAAGACTTTGGATGTGTATTTCGTAAACTAACTGTATCTCATCCATATATATATATATATTTTTTCAATCTAGTCTAGACTTCTTTGAACGTTTCACCAGTACCAAAGGTTCCAATCGACCATACACCTTCAACTGTCTTACATAAATAATAAAACACAATAAATTAATCATGTTAACCAGTTGAACAACAGTATTCCAACCCCAGTAACAATAACTAACTTTTCCAGTTCCGGTCCAATAAATATACCGGTTTGTCGACGTGAATTCACTATTTCCACAGGAAGTGAATACAAATGACCAGCATCAATAGTGGTTAATAAACCAGGTTGTTGTTGATTGGTTGATTCCGATGATTTGATCAATAGTGAATAAATACAAATACGTTCAGATGTATTATTCAAAATCTGTGGAATAAATCAATACATATATATAAATGATTATGAATAACAACAATGATATTTCAAATTATGCGAAAGAAAATTTAGCCAATCATAACCTTACTTACTTACGCCTAGTCCACGAGACACTAGTAAACTAATGGTTAGAGACGTTGAATGATATGGCTCAAAATCGTTTGTAATGGCACAAGTGCATTCACTCATTGTGTTCTTTCAAAGTTCTAATCTCCCGAATTCCTTATCATCTCTTTCTCTTTCTACAGTTATCTCACTGAATTATACTTCTCGAATCATATCTACAAACCCTAATCTTTTTTTTAATTACTGCTTATACTTCTGCTAACTCTATCACTATGGGATTTGAATTGACAATTGCGTCTCTGTGCTAATGTGATATGACAGCTTTAACTGATGTACATATGTAAGAAGTTCTATGTTGTAACTGACTGACTGTTAGGATATTCGTCCAATAACCTTAGAGAATTATTGGTCGATTCTTATTGGTTAATTCCTACTGGTCAATTTTATGGTCGTCCTAGATATCAATGTCACGTAGTTCAATGTTGTTTCTTATTAGTTATTCTGACTATCAATGTCACTTCAAATGTTGCTTCCTATTGGTCGTCTTAACTGTCAATGTCACAGAATTCGATGCTGTTTCCTATTCGACCAAAATGTATAAATACGCATTGTCTGTAACGTTTTATGACCAGGACCAGGACCCGGTCCCGGATCCCTAGTCCGGGATCCTGATTCTCTTCTGGACTCGGACCTTGTACTTTCTGGATGCTTGTAGAATACGGGTTCCATTTCATACCAAGTCTTCTTCCTCCACTCAACGGGAGTTGTGACACTCGGATTACAGTAGTATGTCGTGTCGCCGGGTCGTCCATTCTCGTTTTCCGACTAAGGTAAACTCGTAATAGTTCAAGCATATCAAAATGACGTCTTTACGTGCAGGTGTAACACTGACTTAACTGTCAATGGCTTTCTTTCAACCTACTCCTAAAACAAAGATGGTGGTTAGGCATGAAGTAATACATGTCCGAGTTAACAGATTTAACCGATTTTAACATTTATTTCATTTATGTATAATACATAAAGTCACTTTCTTGAATACATTGAAAAATTATTAAAAATGACAGACAAACAAACGGTCTATGTCATATAGTCGGGGTAAACTTTGTATTGTAAAGAGTAAACAGACAATTAAAACACATAAAAGTAAACATCCTAAAACAGGAAGAACTATTTTCAAATAACTTGAACCATTTAACTAGTCTTATAGAGCTTTGAAAAAAAAATTAAAGCACAATTTTACTGTTTCTGCAATTTTTTTCTTCTCGTATTTCCATCAATGTTTCTTTGTGAACGTTTCCATGATGCATAAACGTTTGATGTATGTACTGTAACTTTCTTGAGTTTCGAGTCATGATTGAATTGAGTATTGAATTTGCTTTGGATCCAATGAAACAGGCTAACAATAAATGAGCACAGCTGAAATCTACTCGATCAGTCATATTACTTGTCCAGAGTCTAAGGCAATGGGTTATATAGTAGAAGATATAACAGACACGAGATAGAGGAAAAGCTACAGTTAAAATTCCGACTATTGGCTTGTACACATGAATGTCGATCAGCTTGTTCAAATCAAAATTAGCATAGTCATATTAAAATCCAAAGTATGTTGTTAGTAAGACCAGGAATTATTCTTAGATAAAACCGTTGAAAAGATCGGCGAAACACTGGCACCCAATTACCAAGCAGTTTCCTATTATTTCCAAAAAAAGGTAAATGAAATATCAACTGAAGTAACGGAGCGGCCCCCTTAAGAAAACAACCTGTTGCGGTTTGAACATCCAAGCCGTGTCTCAACCAACCCATTCACAAATTCACTAATTTGTATGGCGCATGAATACATTTGGGTATCAATGGTTATGTTTTGACGAAAAACAAATATCATCAATAAAGTTGGCAAGCTACAGATAATTCAAGGTGAGGAGAGAGCAGCGGTAGCTGGTCAAATCAAAATAGAAATCTTCAAAGATGGCGCGGTTTAGCTCTAGCAGCAGTTAGATTCATCGATATATATATGTGGTGTGTGCTACTTATACGAACGATATAAGTAGTATAAGAAGGGACGTGAAAGAAGAAGTCTCACGGTCACAAGAGGAAAACGGAAAGCAAATGGAGCAAAAGCAAGAAGTAAAGAGGGAGTACCAACAGGAATGGAAGAAGGATGGAGCGTTGGAAGTCAGGACTCAAAGATGGTGTGTAAATAGAGCGTTCAATGTAATGTTTTCGTTTTTAATTGACTAAGAGTGTAAATTTGCTACATACAATCTATCGAGCGTGCCTCAATCTTCTCATACATATATGTTCGCAGTTTGAAACGTAAAAACTAGCGATGTGAATAGAAAGGAAAAGTTAATATTCTCTAATTGATCACAGAATAGAAGATATGGTGTGAACTATATACATATACACTTACTTGAACTGTAGAACGGAATGTGATCGATTTCACACCAAGACATGCTTCAACATCAGCAACAATAGGATAAATGGTAATGCGACGATCTGATTTATTCGATGTTTTCTCCTCATTATTATTGGAATCTTTAGCTAAACAAAGCAATTCACTATCACCACGATATAATTGAAAAACAACCTCAGAATTTGATATGGAACTGCGAGGCACAGATTGATCACTTGCATTTGACAGAGATATCCATATATGATGACGTGAATCTTTGTATGTGGAAACAATCGATCGAGTCTGAAAAAGTAACAAAGAAATTAAAAATATGTAAATCATTAAAATTCCTGATGAATAGTTTGAAGGTTAACTAAGGTGTTCACTTCACTTATCTGGAGAGTCTCATTAGCGCTGATGGCCTAGTGACTGACGAAATTTCAGCTCGGATACAGAAGGCTCGATTGGTTTTTGACAACCTGCGTCACTTATGGCGTAGGCGTGATATCCGTTTGCTGACTAAAGGACGAGTGTACTGCGCAGCAGTTCGCTCCGTTCTTCTATATGGCTGTGAAACATGGCCGTTAAGAGTAGAAGATGTTCGTAGGTTACTAGTATATGATCATAGATGTTTAAGAAGCATTGCTCGTGTATCCTGGGACAACCGAGTAAACTATGTTGTCGTTAGGAAACGAGTTCTAGGTAAGGATGGCAGATCAATAGATGAAGTAGTGAAACTTCATCAGTTGAGGTGGTTGGGACATGTGTTACGTATGGCTAACCGCAGACTGCCTCGATGAGCTATGTTTTGTGGTGTAGGAGTAGGTTGGAAGAAAGCTAGGGGCGGCCAGACCAAAACATGGCACAAATCCATGAAGTCACTGACAAGTGGACTGAGTCATGTTGGTAGATGTAGACTACCTGGTTCGGGTCCACGAGACGAAAGTCATCAATGGTTAGAGACCTTGAACGACATGGCTCAAAATCGTTTGCAATGGCACAAGTGCATCCATTCTTTGAGCTCTCTCAAATCCTAATCTTCTGGATTCATCAGCACATCTACCTTTGTCTTTCTAACCTTATCTCACTGAATTATACTTCTTGAATAATATCTTCAAACCCTAGTCTTCTTCATTACGATTAATACCTCCACTATCTTTATCACTATGGGATTTGATTTGATATTTGCGTCTCTGTGCTCATGTGGTATGGCAACATGAACTTATGTATATACGTACGAAGTTCTACGTTGCAACTGACTGACTGACTTAGGGTGTTCGATTCCCTACAACAAACAGGGTGATAGATGCACACTGCTAGCGTGTCCCATATTTAAATAGTGAAACAGATATCCAATCTATAAAAATTACTTTGATAAATGTTTAGTAGTTTGGACATAAGGTTTACAATTGATTTTCAACGATATTTACAAAACCAAAAAAAAAATGTGCAACAGATTGGTTTTTGAGAAGAAAAAAAACAAACATCAATAATGGCAAACAACTAAAACAAGCATTGAAGCAAATATTCAATAAAAAAAAAATTGGCTTTTATGCGTCTTCTGCACTTTGTTTTTTTCCTCCTTATCGATAAACGTTAACAGTCTATCTATGTATTGCAAATTACTTTTTTTTAAGCCTTCATGAACCTAGAATTCTAAACTAATTCAATAATGTTTAGGATTATCTTGAAAAGGAGGGTTGGGCATTGTCAACTGATACATTCCTTTATTGTAAGCTTTATGGTGTTTGGAGTATAAAAACAATCGGTTCTGTGTTTTACATTATTAACTAAATATATAGATATGTTGATTAGTTCTGTTACACACACACACACACACACACACACAAGTTTGAATTATTGTTCACAAACTTGCGTGATAATATAGATTAATACAAAGGCTGTATTTTTTTCAATTGATAAAACATCTGGAACTTGAAAGAACTATCAACCAAAACTGAAATCAGAAATTTCAATACAGACGTCAATACAATTCTACCAAATCGGGCGCAAACTTGGGATACTAACAAAGCCGTTACGTAAAATACTTCGGATCCGTAGGCCAAACACCATCAGCAACAAACTACTGTGGGAGAGAACAAACCAGATTCCAGTGGAAGAGGAAATCAGGAAAAGGCGCAGGAAGTGGATACGAAAAACTTTAAGGAAAGCAACCAACTGCGTCACAAGACCAGCCCTCACTTGGGACCCTCAAAGTCAAGGGAAAAGAGGAACGCCAAGAAACATATTACGCCGAGAAATGGAGAATGAACAAAAATTGGTCAGAACTGGAAAGGGACGCTCAGGACAGAGTAAGTTGGAGAATACATGTCGGTGGCCTATGCTCCATTGGAGGTAACAGGCGTAAGAAAGTAAGTAAGTAATCACACAAGTTTAAGTTATAGACTGAACTATCAAAACAGAAATTATCTGTTTGTTGTGTTCTTGTTCTATTCTAACTAATAGACAAGATGACGTAAGAAACTAAATTCTAGATTAGTAGACAGTGATTACTGATACTTGACAGTTATTTCACTGCCATTCAGTTACTTATCAAAGAAGGATCTTTATTTTATCAGTGCAATACAGACAATTTCGGTTGAATAAACAGTTATTCCAACTAGACAGAAAATACACAACCACTCTGGCTCATAAACCATGATACAATGTCAACAATTGTTTGACTTTGCCATTCAATCAGTAATGCAAAAAAAAACATTTAGCACAAAGTTTTAAAATTAAAATTTGAATGAATTACTCTTTCAGTTTTTGTCAACTCAGAGAATCCCATTTCGCGTTGTGAATCAAGTATGATTGATTGATGTTGATTTGTTGTTGTTGTTGCTGCTGCTGTTGAATCCTGTCCAGTACTTGATGAAATCACTGCTTTATCAGAAGATCCTAGTGATGTTTGAGTAGAATTGGTTTGAATGATTGAATGATCATTATTGAAATGGACCAATGATAAAGCTTGTGCATTATATCTTATTACTAGTTGACATCCAGTTTTATTGACAATACGATAAGGTGCTACAATGTGATCGGTAGAATCGTTGTATTTCGATTTGATATTTTTTAATTTATAGGCTGCTTCAAATGACTATAAAAAGCAATAAAAAACGTATAGGATAAGATGTGATGTATGTCCTTAATATAGTGTGAGCCTACATGGCTTATCCTAGACTTTTGGAAAAACCAATCAATCATTACTGTCCGAGTTATTATTCCCAAATCTTTCAACCTTGTCAATGAATCGCCTATAACTTGATTACTTTTACTTCAGTGAGTGTATGCACTGCTTATTTTGCTAATCACATCGAGTTGACCCACATGCCTTCGCTTTTACGCTCTGAATCAATCCTCATACTATCTGTCTACTTACGTGATTAGTGTGAAATAAATTCATCCACATAAAACCGTATTGGACCTTTCATCTCCTTCGTGGAACAAACGAGGTTCAACTAAGAATGATACGCAGAAATTAGTTGAAAGAATTATTTCCTAGGCATATATAATTATTCGTCCAAATCGGAATCGAATCGTGAGTCACACTAAAGCTTGTGTTCAATGGTCAACATGAATGCCGACGCAAAAGAAGTCACTAAAAATCATCAGGAAGAAATGATCGAAACGCTATAGGAATATCTGTGATCACCTTCAAGGGTAGGTATCCTCGTTGGAATTATTTAGAATTTCAATCGCTGAGATTATTACTATTATTACAAATAGATAAAAAATTCCTTTTCAAGGCGCAAAAGCTTACTTACTAAATTCAACATCATTACGTCATTTTTCTATTAAGTAATCGAATTATCAACAAAAAATCTAGTCTACGATATTCTAGTGATTAGTATAAGTCACTATTTTGATGGATAAATAGATGATCACTGAAAAAAATAACTTAAGACTAAGGTCACAACAACGTGTTATAGACGTTAAAATAATATTTGTTAGTAAGTTTCATGTATAATAGTAACATTATACACTGTAATTATTGATATGCTTGAATGCTATTACGAGGTCACCTTACTGGGTAAACAGAATGAATAGCAATGACTGATTGACACAATAGGCCATTCTAATCCGATTGTTCAAGGCCATGCTAACAAAAGCAAGAAGTTTTGATAAGGACCAGAGAATGTAATCTAGAGGCACCGAGAAAATTCGAGATATCTAAGCACACAAATCAAGCTTATTTATACGATGATAGCAATGCGCTTGGGAGAAGCAGGATACTCAAATAATCCATCAACCAATGACAGTCAAGGATATTCCGAGGGGGAAAATGTAAGCTGAAGGTCGACTGGCGAAAAAACATGGAAATTCAAAATTTCAGCAACAAATTACGACTTTTTCCAAGTGTGAGTTCTGGGGATCTAACGACCCCAACAATTATGGATATGATACGATGATATGCAAAAATATAATTACAGTACGATATACTAGCGAAATTTATGTTTTATGACTATACTACTCATAAGTAACCAAGGTTTTTCCTCTTTTTCTCTTGTATCTCATTGGTTGAGTTAATTTATTAACAAACTGGCTTTGTCCTTAAACAATTGAAACGTATTTTGCATTGACAAACATTTTGGATCAATCGTTTTTACGTTGTCTTATCAACTTCAACGAAAGCTCAAATTGATATAAATATTTATATATTTCTGAGTAACCAAGACAATCTTCTAACTTAAATAGTAGACTTCAGGTTCAATGGAAAACGCGCATAAACTTCTTGACTTACAAATATATGAAAACAAATTAATCATTTGATTTTTACAATCCTACAACTAACGCCAATAAAAAAAATCAATTGCATAACAATGTTATTGACACGCTCAAAGAAAGAAGAAAGAAAATAGTAAATCAATAATACTTACACGACCCAAATTATTCAACATATCTAAAGCAATTTTTGAAATAGTAATTTCTAAATTATCTCTAGATAGAATTAATATTGTATTAGTTGATGCTTGTAAACAGCCAACATTCACCCAATCATCATCACCATCAGCATTATCAACACCATCGTCGTTGGTTAAACATTCTGCTTTATTATTATTATTATTATTACTAGTATTACTAGTATTATTATTCATACTGATTAATTCTAATTGAAGCGACCACATACGATCACCTTCTTCAGGTAAAGTTTCAATCAGTGGCTCCCATTGATTCAAGGAATCATTGTAATAGGATAAAGATAAATCTATGAGAAATTTTAATTCAAGCTGAAATGAAAGGATGGATGAAAAAAACAACGAAAGTTAGTCATTTATTAACGTGTCCTTAAAAAACAACAACAACACAAGTGACTTCTGGTTTTATTTACATAGTGAGAGATTAACAAGGTGAAAAGTCTACAATAGGATAGAGAATATCGATGTCAATGAGAATCTAAAAAAAATATAACAGATGAATTAGGAACAAATACGATCAGAGAATATGAGATTGTGAATGAAGATTCACTTCTAAATTAAAATAATTCAGAGAATGAATATGACTATACCACTATGTTATTCAAGTATGTAACCATTATTTCAGTCAGTCAGTCAGTCAGTCAGCTACAACTGAGATTTTAGTCAGTACGTACATCAGTTCACGTCATCATACTAGATTAGCACACAGACATCAGGTTGCCAATTCCAATCTCATAATAGTAGTGGTAGTAGAGGAATTATCAGTAATCAAAAAGATTAGTGATCGATGAAATAATTACAGAGGAATCGATTTAAAGACAAAACAGAGACAAAGAGGAAAAGGTCATGAAGAATACCAAAGATTAAAATTTGAGAAAAGACAAAGAATCGATGCATCTACGCCATTGTAAATGATTTTGAGCCATGTCATTCAAGGTCTCTAACCATCGGTTACTATAATTTCGCGGACACAAACAAAGTAGTCTACACCGACTAACATGGCTCAGTCCAGTAGTCAATGACTTCATGGATTTGTGCCATGTTTTGGTTTGGCCGCCCCTAGCCTTTCTCCAGCCTACTCTTACATCAGGCATCATTTCTCGCTGAAGCCGGTGGTTGGGCACCAACTGATGAAGTTTCACTACTTCATCTATTGATCTGTCATCCTTACATAATACCCTTTTCCTAATATCAGCATGTAACCATTATTTACACAGTATTGCATAGGTCTTAGTCAAGAAGTTCGCATCTTCTGATATGACTCTTAGTAAGAACATTTAATAACTATACCTACGAAGTCTACATTATGAATTGTCCACGCTGAGCATGCCTTACATACCTGATCAACCAACTAAAAACACATTCATTAATTCATGATTTCAATGAAACTCAACAATCTCCACAACCCTATATACTGACATCTAGGAAACACAAACTATACAAAAATGCCAGCAATAAATTTCATTCTGAATATATATTGTACTGAAAGTTAAGAATGAGTTTCAAGTGTCAGATTAGTACATCTATGTTTCAATATTTTCGGCAGTCAACTGCTATTTTTCTTTACTCAAACTTCATTCCTTTTTATTGCGGCTTCATGGTTAAGCCAATCGAATTTCAACCACTGAATTCCCAGTTCAAAAACGAACTCCATCAACATTCGTTTGAACACAATCGAGTAGTAGCATCATCTCACCCTACAGAACTTAAAGTGTAACTGATACTCAAGTATCTGGTGAATAAGTTAATGATATATACCTTATATATAACTAAAG